CGCTCCGGGCTTTCCTCTCATATAATGCTGACGCATATATGTACTTGGGTGTCAATGATGTTATCACAGTTGATGTGTGTACTCGGGTGTCAATGATGTTATCACAGTTGATGTGTGTACTTGAGTGTCAATGATGTTATCACAGTTGATGTGTGTACTTGAGTGTCAATGATGTTATCAGAGTTGATGTGTGTACTCGGGTGTCAATGATGTTATCACAGTTGATGTGTGTACTCGGGTGCCAATGATGTTGTCACAGTTGATGTATGTACTTGGGTGTCAATGATGTTATCACAGTTGATGTGTGTACTTGAGTGTCAATGATGTTATCACAGTTGATGTGTGTACTCGGGTGTCAATGATGTTATCAGAGTTGATGTGTGTACTCGGGTGTCAATGATGTTATCAGAGTTGATGTGTGTACTCGGGTGCCAATGATGTTGTCACAGTTGATGTGTGTACTTGGGTGTCAATGATGTTATCACAGTTGATGTGTGTACTTGAGTGTCAATGATGTTATCACAGTTGATGTGTGTACTCGGGTGTCAATGATGTTATCACAGTTGATGTGTGTACTCGGGTGTCAATGATGTTATCACAGTTGATGTGTGTACTTGAGTGTCAATGATGTTATCACAGTTGATGTGTGTACTCGGGTGTCAATGATGTTATCACAGTTGATGTGTGTACTTGAGTGTCAATGATGTTATCACAGTTGATGTGTGTACTCGGGTGTCAATGATGTTATCAGAGTTGATGTGTGTACTTGGGTGTCAATGATGTTATCACAGTTGATGTGTGTACTCGGGTGTCAATGATGTTATCACAGTTGATGTGTGTACTTGAGTGTCAATGATGTTATCACAGTTGATGTGTGTACTCGGGTGTCAATGATGTTATCACAGTTGATGTGTGTACTTGAGTGTCAATGATGTTATCACAGTTGATGTGTGTACTTGAGTGTCAATGATGTTATCACAGTTGATGTGTGTACTTGAGTGTCAATGATGTTATCACAGTTGATGTGTGTACTCGGGTGTCAATGATGTTATCACAGTTGATGTGTGTACTTGGGTGTCAATGGTGTTATCACAGTTGATGTGTGTACTTGAGTGTCAATGATGTTATCACAGTTGATGTGTGTACTTGGGTGTCAATGATGTTATCACAGTTGATGTGTGTACTCGGGTGTCAATGATGTCGTCACAGTTGATGTATGTACTTGGGTGTCAATGATGTTATCACAGTTGATGTGTGTACTTGAGTGTCAATAAGTTATCACAGTTGATGTGTGTACTTGGGTGGACCTCACATATGGAGAGACATCCTAATCAGGATGGTCACACAGTGATAACAACATGAACTTCCTCACTCCCACCAGACTGATATATCCACCGCTCCTGTGAGTCTGGGACGTCTCCCGTTTGTCAGACATCCCGTTTGTCAGCCACCCCATTTGTCAGACATCCCACTTGTCAGACATCCCGTTTGTCAGACACCCACTTGTCAGACATCCATTTGTCAGACATCCATTTGTCAGCCACCCCACTTGTGAGACATCCAATTTGTCAGACACCCAATTTGTCAGACACCCAATTTGTCAGACACCCATTTGTCAGACACCAATTTCTCAGACATCCCACTTGTCAGACACCCATTTGTCAGCCACACCCATTTGTCAGACATCCCATGTGTCCGCATCCATTTGTCAGACACCCATCTGTCAGACACCCATTTGTCAGACACCCATTTGTCAGACACCCATTTGTCCGACATCCCATTTGTCCGACACCCATTTCGTCAGACATCCCATTTGTCAGACACCCAATTTGTCAGACACCCAATTTGTCAGACACCCAATTTGTCCGACATCCCATTTGTCAGACACCCAATTCGTCAGACACCCAATTCGTCAGACACCCGTTTGTCTGACATCCCATTTGTCAGACACCCATTTGTCAGACACCCAATTTGTCCGACATCCCATTTGTCAGACACCCAATTAGTTAGACATCCCTTTTGTCAGACACCCAATTAGTTAGACATCCCATTTGTCAGACACCCATTTGTCAGACACCCAATTTGTCAGACATCCCATTTGTCAGACACCCATTTCGTCAGACATCCCATTTGTCAGACACCCAATTTGTCAGACATCCCATTTGTCAGACACCCAATTTGTCAGACATCCAATTTGTCAGACACCCGATTAGTTAGACATCCCATTTGTCAGACACCCGATTTGTCAGACATCCCATTTGTCAGACACCCATTTCGTCAGACATCCCATTTGTCAGAAACCCAATTTGTCAGACATCCCATTTGTCAGACACCCAATTTGTCAGACATCCCATTTGTCAGACACACAATTCGTCAGACGGCCAATTTGTCAGACATCCCATTTGTCAGACCCGTAAAAGGCGACTGTGCTTGTCGTAAGATGCGACTAACGGGATCGGGTGGTCAGGCTCGCTGACTTGGTTGATGCATGTCATCATATCCCAATTGCGTGGATCGATGCTCATGTTGTCAATTACTGGATTATCTGGTCCAGACTCGATTATTTACAGACCGCCGTTATACAGCTGGAATATTGGAATAAACGTTGTTGTACATATTTGGTAATTTATTTGAAGTTTATTTTTTTTAACCCGGCATCATGCTCGTTAGATAAGTTTTGAAACAACTCGTTGTAAGATCAATGGTATCTGACAGACACTCGCGTAGTAATCTCTATATCTACACTGTAGATATCGCTGCAATGAAATTGCATCACAATTATTTGCAGACCATTGTGACGCCATTGGTTACCATGGCGTCACAATCAAATGACATCACTAATGGCTGTGCTGTTGAAGCTGTTAGCAGTACGTTCTACATTTAAGACACTGCTTATTACTGTCTACAAACTGAAAAAGTTCGAAGAATGATGTTGTATGATAAACAAAAATTTCACCCTCGTGTCTTTTGATATCAAATATATCAACACGGGTTGATAAAAGTGGAATCACCTTTTTTCAACTTGTGTTGATATAATTTTCCACATTTATCAACTCCTGTTGATATATTTGATATCAAAAGTCACGAGGATGAGATTCTATATGTAATTCGTTATTTGTTCTGGTTTAATAATCCTTGCTCCTATCCTTTACTGAAAAAAAAGCCATGGGTGTGTAGTAATTTATTGTAAAAAGAGAAACTCGATTATTTCCCCGTAACGCGTGAAATTAAATGCTTCGTACAAATGTACTATGTATGTAAAGAGTCCATGACAACAAAACGTCAAGTGGTATTCGAACCAAACAGGTTCTATACATTTATTTCACGAGAAATATGAAATGTTTAATATGCAAACGAATACCATGATAAACGTACAGTTCATTTCATCATACTGTCATGGTACAAAGCCAAGTATAATTATGTTTCGACACTAAGACTCCGTGAAGTCTTTGTGTGAAGTATGACTCACTACAAATACGTTACACGAAACAATCATCACATATATATGATATACGATATATGTAATAAACTCCCTCAATAGATTAATCAAGCGTTCATGTTTTGCCTCTGTAGAAATGCAGATGTATTCTCATAACTCAGTTCTGACAGAGATATGATTACTGCAACATCACTGACAGCATCTGATGTTTATAGAATTGACATATGAGAATTAAAATTTTAAATTACCATATTGCAATAGTGACAAATGCGCATGTCAGAAATACAAAAACATATGGGTTTCTGTAAAACTGATCATAAAAATTGACTACACACACAATATTTTTGTCAATAAAATTAAAGAGAGCAGTAAAAAAGGTGGATAGAGATCTTGTTCCTAAAGCTTTGAATGAGGATGAGAATGTTTTAGTTTTAACTGTAATGAAATCAATCCTCATGTTTAAAGTTCAAGTCAATAAATAACTGCTCAAAGCTTATGAAGGTTTTTTCGACATTAAACATCTGCTCCCTTAATGACGCATGTCCCCTGAATGCCAAATTGTTTTATTCATTGCAAACTGAAAGGCCTGCCATAGGCCCATAGTTCAACGTATTTACAAGGTATGGGTGTTTCTTCTAACTAACAATGCATGATGTATGTACAATGCAATATTTTGTAATAAAGTAATATTTGAAGTTGACATAAGTATGCAAACAAATTAATATTTGGGTAAGTTATAAACGTCTTTGGAATATACTTGCATGCATCATGTATATGATTGAACGAGCGAGTATGGTTTTACGCCGCGTTTAGCAACGTTCCAGCAACATCACGGCGGGGGACACCAGAAATGGGCTTGTACCCATGTGGGGAATCAAACCCTGGCCTTCGGCGTGACGAGCGAACGCTTTAACCACTAGGCTACCCCACCGCCCCGTATTTGATTAAACTTTGGGGTAACTGGGTAATTGAACTATCATAACACATATGGGTCGGACGGGTAGCCTAGTGGTTAAAGCGTTCGCTCGTCACGCCGAAGACCCGGGTTCGATTCCCGACATGGGTACAATGTGTGAAGCCCATTTCTGGTGTTCCCTGCCGTAATATTGCTGGAATATTGCTGGAATATTGCTAAAAGCGGCGTAAAATCAAACTCACTCACTCACTCTCACTCACTCATAACACATATATGAGGGATATATCAATTTGATGTGTGACCAACTATTATTTGTAAACATATTTTGACTTAGCTTACTCTTGAAAAATAGCCATAATTTGGATAACTATTTTCAAATACAAGAGTCTTTCTGCAGAACAATGTAACAGTAACGTTGCCTCACTTCCGTAAAGGCGACCATGCTTGTCGTAAGAAGCGACTAACGGGATCGGGTGGTCATGCTCGCAGTCTTCGTTAATGCATGTCATCGTATCCCAGTGGCATGGATCGATGCTTATGATGTCAATCACTGGATTGTCTGGTCCAGACTCGCTTATTTACAGACAACGGTCATATAGCTGGAATATTGCTGAGTGCGGCGTTAAACAACAAATAAACAAACAAAACAACACATGTATTCAGTGCTAAATAATACGAATAAACGACGCTATTCCAAATCTCAAACTGGTATTTTCTCCAGCAGGTAATCCATCACCTGGTCCGGCAGAAACGATTTCAGAAATATGTAAACCTGAAAAAAGGTAGAACTGAATAAGTAATAAAACTATGGAAGGGGAGACATTAGTTGTACATACATATCTAACCTGTCAGAACCGGGGTGACAGCCCTTCTTGTATTCTCAATGAAATATACATGTTAAGAAGATTTGTTGGCAAGGAGAAATTTTGGTCTCAATGTCAAATAACGTGGTTTCAGAATTCCATCAATCCTAGTGCCTACCATTAACGGTAGAACATATCTACATGTACAACTCAAACAACTAATTTTTCATTTAGAGTTCCTTATTTCAAATTCACATATACCCGCTTTGAAGAGCAGTGACATTCGAGATGGCGGCAAGATTGAGGTATTTAGTTCATTATTTTTCGCCATTAATGGAACATTCTTTGCATCCGTTAACCAACGTGTTCATTTGCTATGGTTGGTTGGTTGTTTGGTTTGTTGTTTAACGCCGCACTCATCAATATTCCAGCTATATGACGGCGGTGTGTATATAATCGAATCTGGGCCAGACAATCCAGTGATTAATATCATGAGCATCGATCCACGCAATTGGGATCGATGACATGCATCAACCAAGTCAGCGAGCCTGACCACCCGATCCCGTTAGTCGCCTTTTACGACAAGCACAGTCGCCTTTTACGGCAAGTATGGGTTGCTGAAGACCCATTCTACCCCGGATTCATTTTCTATGGACCCATGTGACGTCGTTTCGTGACTTCATAGTATACATGCGTGAAGTACTCGTATGGCGAAAATTCTCCATAATGTTTCATTTCGACAATTTCGATAAACGTTCATTTGGAAACGACGGCAGTAGCCGCAGGTTTCATATATTTAGTATTTCGCGCCAATAACCGACAACACAAGAAAATTCGGAATATGTAATCTCCATATTTTGCCATTAAACGCGTAGATTATAAATAAGTAACTACGATGGGACCGGCAAATCGCTGAGACGCTCACACCTACCACACGGAGGTCAACCATTGAAGTCGTTCCCCCGATTAGATATCTCGGGCTGACCTTGACCTCTATCAACTGACGTTCCATGACGTCAAGGACGATGTCACATGACTTAGGTGAGTGTTTCACAGAGATGTATTTGTCCTTGACAGCCTGTTCTGCCACTTCCTGTGGGTAGGCCTTCCTGACGTCATCACTGGCTGAGTTGAATCCATCAAATAGTCTCTTTCTAAACATTTCAAACTGCATAAACAGAAATAAAGAAAATCCAGATCGGGAGAATGACAGTCGGAATGTGTTTTAAAATCATGCAACCTCGAAAAGGTCAGCACGGGTCGTTACGACTGAGTCCGTCAAAATAGTCGTCTATCGCTCTTCAGAAGGACATTTGAAACAGGAGATACCTCCGATATCCCATGGGAAGTACTGTCATACAATCTATTAGACATTCAAGAGTTTTCTTTTGTTCAGGTTTCAAAGAATGAATCGATATTTTTCAAAGTTCCAATTTGAGTGCAGTAAAGCGCGATGAAGCTACTTTTTGATCAGCTAATGTCATTTCAATGGTAGGTCAAAGTTCGCAAGGTGGCACGGGTGTCCCAGTCGTCTAAGGCGCCGCGATTCGCTGTACAGAGTTGCGTCCCTTGGGCACGCCAGAAACCTATGATTGTGGGTTCGAATCCCGGTTTGCCCCGATTATGTTTCTAGGTTTGTCAGCACCATACCCGTGCTCGTGGGTTTCACCCAAGTGGTAAACGTCTGAGACCTGCATCACTTCGGGCTTTCCTCCCACATTGAGCTGACACGCCGCGATATAACTTGAATACTGTTAAAAGCGACGTTAAACCAAACTCACTCACTCACTCAAAGTTCGCGAAAGGTCGTGCCATGTTATGAGATGTCTTCAGATATGTGTCTGGTCTAGTACAAGCAGTCACATACACACATGTGCATGCACGAGTCTATATAAGTGCAATAATCTTGGACGCGATGCTAAACTTCATTTACCTCTCCAGATGATACCAACATGTGGTGCGTTTAATTTACTAAGCAGTTATGAATTATGCAAAATAAAACCTTGAATCTCAGACTAGATTACAAATCCGATCGCTGTGAGTGAGTGAGTATGGTTTTACGTCGCTTTTGGAAATATTCCAGCAATATCACGGCGGGGGACACCAGAAATGCACTTCACACATTGTACCCATGTCGGGAATCGAACCCGTCCGATCGCTGTGACCTTGACCTTGTTTTTTATACACAGATCTAAGAGCATCACAAACATTCACGAAATTAAAAATCTATTCACAGTGAATATTTATATATTTCTATTTATTTGCCAGGTCTTTCAAAAATGGCAACGTTACACCAAAAGACGCCCCAAAAAGACATGCTGCCTGACATTTTCAAGTCTGGCATAATTGTTTTTTGAGTTTCCAAGATTTCAAACGATACAAAACACAGACTACACCTGCACCCGACCGTTCCAAATACTGAAACCAGACACAACCGGTGTACGTCACCGTCAACGTGCAAAAGCCACGACGTCAGGGTACGATTACACCCCATCGACCATCAGCGATCCTGATCTATTAGTCGCCTCAAACAACCAACAAGGACTTCCTTTTATTAAATGCCCGTGAAGAGATCACCCGTTTAATAAACATATAGAGGATTAACCACTGTGTTCGGTTGTTGACGAAATATCTACACACGAGTGATTAATCTGTCACGATTATAACGAGGCTTTGCTCTCAACATCCCTTGGCTTATTCAACGAAATTGCGCGTGGAGTTGATAGATCACTGAGAGGAGCTTATGCACACTCGGTGACCCCAGCAAACTTGTTGCTAGGCTGACGTCACATGGCATTGTTTCGCCGATGGATCTTGCAACAAAATTCCACAAATTAGGTACAACTCGTCTTGGTGTGTTGTAAGTGACTTGTAGCACGGGTTGCGACGGTCAATCCAAAATTGCGCGAGTTTGCGTAAAATTTAGTGACGTATAATATGACGTTAACTTTTAACGTTAACGTTTAACTTTTAATCTAATTGTTAAATTTGGGAATTTTCAAAGGCACATTAGAAATGTCAACTATTAATTTTCCGAATTTAGCAAAATGCGTTCTGTGTCCAGTTGTTTTTATGTTTGACAGTTACATTGTAATCTTTTAATTAAGTTATAAACATTTCTATTGTTTGTTGTTGTTTATTTACGTTATTACTCTTGAACACTGTGTACAACACTAAAGAAACATTGTAAGTTTGAAATTTCTCAAGTTAGTAGGCGAGGCTTGCTGATCTTGGCATCAGCCAATGGTAATAATCTTTAACAAACCGTGCTCTTACTACCATGATACAGGACCGCCTCCGTGGTCTTGTGGTAGAGCGTCCGCCCGGAGAGCGGAAGGTCCGGGGTTCGATCCCCGGCTGCGTCATACCAAAAGACGTTAAAAGATGGTACTTGTTGTTACCCTTTCTGGCGCTCGGCATTAAGGGGTTGAAACAAAGACTGGTCGGCTCGGAGTCAGTATACTGTGTCTGAGTGGGGTATTCATGTTAAACTGCGGCATGGTATCTCAGTGAGCTAGCACTATAAATCGGCATCAGTCCGGACTAGTACAAGCAGCCACACAAACACACACACGTACATGCACGTCGCTATATAAGTGCAATAATCTTGGACGCGACGTTAAACCCATTTCACCTCACCTCACCATGATACAGCATGGGTAAGATCTGAGATACCGCTCGCTACCCGTGCTACAATGTGACGTTATTGTAAACTTTGAGGTGCAAGGCCCGTTTACAAGGCGATCGTATTGTAGCGCAACGACAGTCATTAGTCTAAGTTAAAGTATGTGAGTTGCGATAGTCTTAGCCCTACGATAATTTTGTGAATACTAAAGGTGAACCTTTCTAGGGTATTAAATTCATACGTTTCAACTTTTGACGTGTTTGAAGTATTATTCTGTTAAGCTCAAGTGGACTATGCTGTGGATCGTGTAGGTGTCAGCCTATTCATACTCAACATTATAGCTAAAATGGATAGAATTATCATTAAACCGCCCGCATGTTATCAAAAATGAGCGGGCCACTGTAACTTGATAATGCCAACATATTGCTTGACGACGGGCCATTATCACGCCCGTTGTTATGTGACGTCATAGGATAGGGATAGGTGACGTCATATTCAACAGTGACGTCATCTGGTTTGTTCTATGACGTTTCCATATTTGTAAAAGTGGGTCAGTGACATTGGTGTCGGTTGCAGGGAATGTTTTAAAACGGATATTGTTGTTTCTTTTTATTTGATAACAAATTCCATCCATTTTAGCTATAATAACGGTAACGCTATTTTTCAGGGCATAATCATTTGCAGTTAATGGAAGACCTCGGGCTCCTGCAAATGATAATGCCCTGAAAAATAGCGTTACCCCTATAATTAAAGTAATAGATAAAATGCTAAACTCGCTGACGTGTAAAACTAATTTCGGTCGTCAGATACCACAACTATTCACTCGTTTCATAAAATTGGTGTTACACGGGAGCTCGTTGAGTATTCTATATTTAATTGATGGGTGAAATGTTTGGAAGTTAATCGTGTGAGATTTATATGACACATTTCGAAACGAAAACATGCATAGCATAGGTTGTTGGATAAGAACTTACGTTGTGTTCCAGAAGAATGGCTGTTGCTCCTCCGAAATGCGCCGGTTCAATCAGACTGACCTGGACCCCAAACCTCCTCATCTCGTGACGTAAAGCATCGGAGAAGGCTTCTAAACTGTACTTGGAAATGCAGTACGTCGCGTTACCTCCCCTTGCCAGACGGCCTCTTTCACTTGACACGTTAATTACCCGGCCTGAAACAGTGCAATCTATCAACGTCAGTACACTGCAAAATACAATTTGATTAAATGTAAACTAAATAAGACCTAACTTCTCGGTTTCAACAGTTTAATGTTGAAGGAAGCGATCTTTCATACACAAAAAAAACAAATCAAAATAAAGCTTTGTTGGCAGATGCTGATTAACGCCGCACTCAGCAATATTACAACTATGTGACGGCCGCCTTACCAGATCATGAAAGTGACAGTCGGAATGTGATTTCTAATTCGAAAACGTTAAAACGGTGTATTCCGAACGATAGTTACGGGCTTTACGACCGAATCTGTACAATCTAGACCAAATATTAGCCATTCTAGAACGTTCTTTTGTTCAGGTTTCAATTTTTTTAAGCGAGAATTTGAAATAAGTGCCGTAAAGCACGAAAAAGCTGCTTTCTGATTTGGCTAATGTCGACTTCGTGTCAGTAATTCCATTGGTCGGTCTGACGTGACCCGTAATGGGAACTAAGATCTGATTTTAATGAGATTGCGGCGACCGGTTCATCCCGGCGGTCATCAGAATTAGCATCTTCTGACCACGCTATACCTATTGTTTCGTCACCTTTAGCCTGCCTCACTAGCGGCAGGAACGCTTTGGACACTCTGATAGCCCCGAACAGGTTGACCTCGCACACTTCCTTGTAGAACTTTATGCTGCACAGCTCGACCGGACCCCCGCCGTCAAGTACTTTCTTTTCTCGTATTTACCTGACGTTTTCTCAATCGTGGCCCATTTTTTTTTGTTATTGTTATTGAATATTCATTGTACGTTTAAGAAATGATATACTCTAAATCTTGAAATTAACGCGAGCGTGAATTAAATGCGAAAAATGCGAGTGGCCTTTGTTCGCATATATGAAACTTCACATTGTCTCCAAAATGACTATCAACAATAAGACGGCCTCATTGTCCCTTTTGGCTAGGGGCCACCAGTCGCATTAATTTGACGACGCATTAGGATTTACAAGATACAAACGTTAATCTCACAGCGATGAGGTTTTTATACACAAGCTTAACTTAACAAAAATATTCGCTACGGAATATTTCGTACAACTATTTTCTAATGTGCACAACTTATCATAATAATAATATAATAATAATAATAATAATAATAATAATAATAATAATAATAATCTCTTGATCGCGAATGGGACGCGAAAATTTCGCGTTACTGTCGCGATCGTGGGACGCTCGCTGCTCATAGCTGATACATTGCTGTTGCCATCATCTTCGCGTCTCATTCGCGTTCGAGAGATTCTCTTTATTTGATCAGTAGAACAAGCGGCCTCGTTTGCGCAGTAGGTAGCGCGTCAGTCCCTGCAAACAAAATGCACAACAGCAAGTGGCCTGGAGATCCGGCATAGAATAGGTCTTCAGCAACCCATGCTTGCTGTAAACGGCGACTATGCTTGTCGTAAGAGGTGGCAAACGGGATCGGGTGGTCAGGCTCATTTTGTCAATCCCTGGAGTGTCTGGTCCAGACTCAAATATTTACAGACCGCAGTCATATAGCTGGAATATTGCCGAGTGCGGCGTTAAACAACAAACAAACAAACAAAGATACCAAGAGAAGCTTAACTATGGTACTTGTTGTTACCCTGCCTTGCGCTCAGCATTAAGGTGATAAAACCAGGGCCCTGTTCCACAAAGCGATCTTAGCGTTAAGATGATCGTAACTCCCATACTTTAACACAGGCCTACGGTAGTCGTAGGGTTAAGAGCACTTTGTGGAACAGGGCACAGGGCTGGTTGGCTCGGAGTGGGTATACTGTGTCAGAGTGATCATGAGGTATCCATGTGGCGTGGTATCTCAGTGGTCAAGCACTATAAGACCAGCGTTAATCCTGACTGAGCACAGGGTAACAACAAGTACCCTCATTTAACGTTATTCGGAATGACGCTGACGGGACATCGACAACAAACAAATAAACAAACAAACACAACAGCAAGTATTCCCACCCGTGCTTCTGCATCGCTCCTGGACATACTTGAGAGCCTCCGTCACCTCGCCATCCTTTGTGACATCCATCTACAGGACGTGCATCCTCTCCCCAAAGGTGGCCTGTAGGGCCCGGGGACCCTCCGTGTTGTCGTTCAGACAGCCGGCAAACACCGTGAAGCCGAGTTTGTGTGCGCGGGTCGCCAGCTCATTTCCCAGCCCTCTCAGGACAAAACAAGACAATATTACAAATAAAGTGATTGCAGGATGAATTGGCTTTTTATGCCTCTTTGAACAGTATTTGTCAGCGTGTCAGTTCGGGAGCACGAAGAAGTGATGCAGAACTTAGACTTGTACCAGAACACGGCTGCAACGTTGCCTAATCTACGAAAGCCTATCGGGGTCAAGTGAAATATGGAAAATAAATGAAAAGAAATTCGTTATAACGGAAAAAAAATTCGTTTGTACGGAAATAATTTCGTTATAACGGAAAAACTGATTCGTTATTACGTAAATAAATTCGTTATTACGGAAAAGATTCGGTACAACGGAACTTATTTCGTTATATCGATTTTTTTTTACGAAATTACGAATCTTTTTCCGTATTTGTAATAACGAAATTGTTTCTGTAATAACGAATCCTCGTTCCGTTATAACGAATTTATTTTCGCAATGAAGGAACTTTCTTTCGTAATAACGAATTTATTTTTGTAAAAGCGTATGTCAAGTCCACTTTTTTAATTGTGGACTTTCTTTTGCCAGGCAGATTCTGCACTTATACCAGTGGGAGATCACATTCGCGCAATGCCAAAAATGAGTTTGATGTTTTCCGTGCATGAATATATTATTATTATTATGATATAATCTGACCTGCATCACACCCTGTGATGAGAATGGCCTTTCCTGTGGGATCGATTTGACTTGGAGCCTCGGATTTGAGGAAATACACCCCCGCAGCGTAGAGAACGCAGCCTGTCACTATGCACCAGAGAATGTAGTCGATGAAGTAGTATACCAGCGCCGTAAACACCGCTGTGGCCGCCACAGGGATATATTGCAGATATACTTTTGCCGGGGGCGCCATCTGTGAACGAAGCAAATATCAAAACACAAAATTATCAACTCCCTAAACAGTCGACTCCTCTTGAATCTGCTCGTAGAGCGAGAAATTAGAGGTTCGAACCCGGCTGCGTCATACCAAAAGAGACCCGTGAAGATCCGGGGTAGAATAGGTCTTCAGCAACACGTGCTTGTTGTAAAAGGCGACTATGCTTCGAATCCCAATTGCGTGGCTCGTGCTAATGATGTCAATCATTTGTCCAGACTCGAGTATTTACACAGACCGCAGTCATATAGCTTGAATATTGCTCGGTGCGGCGTTAAACAACAAACGAACACCAAAAGACGCTTAAGTATGGAACTTGTTGTTACCCTGTCTGGCACTCAGCATTAAGGGTTAAATCAAGGACTGGTCGGCTCGGAGTCAATAAAATGTGTCAGACTGATCCTGAGGTATCTATGTTAAGCTGTTGCATCGTATCTCAGTGGTTGAGCACAATAAGACCGGCGTTAATCCTGACTGGTAACATGCAATTGCTTATTTTATCCCGAGCACAGGGTAACAACAAGTACCATCATTTAACGTCATTTTGAATGACGCTGACGGGGCCTCGACTCACAGACATTCTATTTACTAGACCACGAGGGCGGGTTGTAAATAGTCGAGTCTGGACCCGACAACCCAGTAATCTATGCTGTGGGAACCGAACCACGCCCCTAGCTGCGATGACACGCACTCAACCGAGTCACCGACTCTGACCCCCCTGTCCCGTTATTCGCCCTTCTGACAAGCGTCGGTTATTGAAAACAAATGCTAACCCGGATATCGATCTTCACGGGTGATACTCATGCTTTCACCCTTATTCAGTGAAATGTTCTTGAAAACAAACAACTTAAACAAACAAACAAACAAATAACAACTTCTGAAGTCTGCACAGGGAACGACCATGCGTCCCCCTTCGGGTGGTGTCTTCTGTTAGGACGGCCTAATTGTTGCAAGAGGACCATTTGTGGACTCCGAAATGAGGAGTCGACTATTTTTTAGCAGAGCAGTTGTTTTAAGGACATCGTGTGAACAAGTTTTTTGGGCAAAATATTGTTTTTAGTATTTTCTGGAACAAATTATTTTGTTAAAACTAATCCCATGCATCGCCCCTAAATATCCAGACCGCCTCCGTGGTCTAGTGGTAGAGCGTCCGCCTTGAGAGCAGAAGGTCCGGGGTTCAATCCCCGACCGCGTCATACCAGACATTAAAATATGGTACTTGTTGTTACCCTGTCTGGCGCTCGGAGCCAATATACTGTGTCTGAGTGGGGTATTCATGTTAAACTGCGACATAGTATCTCAGTGAGCTAGCACTATAAATCGGCATCAGTCCGGACTAGTACAAGCAGCCACACACACACAGGTACACGTATATATATATATATATATATAAGTGCAATAATCTTGGACGCGACGTTAAACCCCAATTCACCTCACCTTGACGTCCATAATCTCTCCTTCGTGTTTAATTTCAACAAATTTCAACAAGTATATTCCACTATCATGTGAATGTACATGCGTCATTGTGGAAACAAATAAAAAACATATCTCATGCCTCATACCTTGTAAAAACATGATTCATGATGTTGGTTGTCAACATAATCTGTCATGCCCTTTGACCTAACATTTGACCTGACCTAATTTTAATTCCCACTCCGTGTTTGGTTTCATCGATACCACCATAGGACTATAGCTGATCTCAGTCATATAACTCAAAAGCAATGTCGTGTCGAAATTATACCACTTTTACACAGATTTCAAACATTGTTGAAATACCGTACGTCAAAAATGGTGATTGTTGTTACCCTGCCTGGCGTAAATCATTGTAAATACAGTAAACTACGGTTATAACGAACTCAAAGTGTCCACTGATATCAGTTCGACATAACCGTAGTTCGTTATAAGCATATATACAGCAAATGACCGGGACAAAAAATGTGTGTTATATCCATCAGTTCGTTATAAGCGTGTTCGTTATAAACGTAGTTTACTGTATCTTGAATGCGGCGTTCAGCCCCATTTCATTTCATAACCTCAGATCACCCAGCGATTGAACAATAGCTGCTCTGACAGGGGTCCCATGTCCGCGCATGTAGCTTCACACACTGTAGCCTCAGATCACCCAGCACTTGAACAATAGCTGCTCTGACAGGGGTCCCATGTCCGCGCATGTAGCCTCGCACACTGAAGCCTCAGATCACCCAGCACTTGAACAATAGCTGCTCTGACAGGGGCTCCATGTCCGCGCATGTAGCTTCGCACACTGTAGCCTCAGATCACCCAGCACTTGAACAATAGCTGCTCTGACAGGGGTCCCATGTCCGCGCATGTAGCCTCGCACACTGTAGCCTAAGATCACCCAGCACTTGAACAATAGCTGCTCTGACAGGGGTCCCATGTCCGCGCATGTAGCCTCGCACACTGTAGCCTCAGATCACCCAGCACTTGAACAATAGCTGCTCTGACAGGGGCCCCATGTCCGCGCATGTAGCTTCGCACACTGTAACCTCAGATCACCCAGCACTTGAACAATAGCTGCTCTGACAGGGGTCCCATGTCCGCGCATGTAGCTTCACACGCTGTAGCCTCAGATCACCCAGCACTTGAACAATAGCTGCTCTGACAGGGTTCCCATGTCCGCGCATGTAGCCTCGCACACTGTAGCCTCAGATCACCCAGCACTTGAACAATAGCTGCTCTGACAGGGGTCCCATGTCCGCGCATGTAGCTTCACACGCTGTAGCCTCAGATCACCCAGCACTTGAACAATAGCTGCTCTGACAGGGGTCCCATGTCCGCGCATGTAGCCTCGCACACTGTAGCCTCAGATCACCCAGCACTTGAACAATAGCTGCTCTGACAGGGGTCCCATGTCCGCGCATGTAGCTTCTCACACTGTAGCCTCAGATCACCCAGCACTTGAACAATAGCTGCTCTGACAGGGGTCCCATGTCCGCGCATGTAGCTTCTCACACTGTAGCCTCAGATCACCCAGCACTTGAACAATAGCTGCTCTGACAGGGGTCCGATGTCCGCGCATGTAGCTTCACACACTGTAGCCTCAGATCACCCAACACTTGTACAATAGCTGCTCTGACAGGGGTCCCATGTCCGCGAATGTAGCTTCACACACTGTAGCCTCAGATCACCCAGCACTTGAACAATAGCTCCTCTGACAGGGGTCCCATGTCCGCGAATGTAGCTTCACACGCTGTAGCCTCAGATCACCCAGCAATTGAACAATATCTGCTCTGACAGGGGTCCCATGTCCGCGCATGTAGCTTCACACGCTGTAGCCTCAGATCACCCAGCACTTAAACAATAGCTGCTCTGACAGGGGTCCCATGTCCGCGCATGTAGCCTCGCACACTGTAGCCTCAGATCACCCAGCACTTGAACAATAGCTGCTCTGACAGGGGTCCCATGTCCGCGCATGTAGCTTCTCACACTGTAGCCTCAGATCACCCAGCACTTGAACAATAGCTGCTCTGACAGGCTCGTGGCATGGTATATCAGTGGGCTAGCACTATAAAATCGGCATTAGTCCGGTCTAGTGCAAACAGACACACACACATGGGCAATAACATCACAGGTTAGAAGATAAAGGATAACTTTGAATAGATAATCGGGTCATCTTTTTTTGTTGTTTGACATCTGTGGCAAGTATAGTGAGGAAACTGGAAGAATCAAAACACGCCTACTGTGGGAAGATGCATAGAACCAAATGTCTAACGCAAGCTGTGTAAATTAAAACAATAACATTTCAAACCTGGAAGGATTATTTCAAAAATGCTTCTACATATTTTTAGTCGTGTTCTGTACCTAATCCTACGGAATAATCAAGTGTTTATGACATTGTAGGATATTGACATGTTGTTGGAGGTATGAACTAAAATTACTTTAGCGGTATGCTGTAATCATGAAAATACACGTTGGGGACAAGTGTTACTTGTACAAATCCCCCCCCCCCCCCCCCCCCCATGTCCAAAAAAGTTAAATACGGCCTTAATATCAATACGCACAATTTTTTTCCCTCCTAAATATTAAATTTGACACTTGCAATAGGAACTACTAACACCCTCTATTTCAGCAATAGCGTCCAGACACCAATGCTTGTTTGGATTCGCATCCAAGACTGGCCCTGATGATGTGACTAGTGGTGTACCCATGCTCGTGGTTTGATATTAGCCCTGATAATGTTTGTAGTGGTGTACCCATGCTCTTGGTTTGAGATTAGCCCTGATAGTGCTCTTGTGGTGTACCCATGCTCGTGGTTTAAGATTAGCCCTGATTATGTTTATTGTGGTGTACCCATGCTCGTGGTTTGAGATTAGCCCTGATAATGTTTGTAGTGGTGTACCCATGCTCGTGGTTTAAGATTAGCCCTGATAATGTTTATTGTGGTGTACCCATGCTCGTGGTTTGAGATTAGCCCTGATAATGTTTGTAGTGGTGTACCCATGCTCGTGGTTTGAGATTGGCCCTGATAATGTTTGTAGTGGTGTACCCATGCTCGTGGTTTAAGATTAGCCCTGATAATGTTTATTGTGGTGTACCCATGCTCGTGGTTTGAGATTAGCCCTGATAATGTTTGTAGTGGTGTACCCATGCTCGTGGTTTGAGATTAGCCCTGATAATGTTTGTAGTGTTGTACCCATGCTCGTGGTTTAAGATTAGCCCTGATAATGTTTATTGTGGTGTACCCATGCTCGTGGTTTGAGATTAGCCCTGATAATGTTTGTAGTGGTGTACCCATGCTCATGGTTTGAGATTAGCCCCGATAATGTTTGTAGTGGTGTACCCATGCTCGTGGTTTGAGATTAGCCCTGATAATGTTTGTAGTGGTGTACCCATGCTCGTGGTTTAAGATTAGCCCTGATAATGTTTATTGTGGTGTACCCATGCTCGTGGTTTGAGATTAGCCCTGATAATGTTTGTAGTGGTGTACCCATGCTCGTGGTTTGAGATTGGCCCTGATAATGTTTGTAGTGGTGTACCCATGCTCGTGGTTTAAGATTAGCCCTGATAATGTTTATTGTGGTGTACCCATGCTCGTGGTTTGAGATTAGCCCTGATAATGTTTGTAGTGGTGTACCCATGCTCGTGGTTTGAGATTAGCCCTGATAATGTTTGTAGTGTTGTACCCATGCTCGTGGTTTAAGATTAGCCCTGATAATGTTTATTGTGGTGTACCCATGCTCGTGGTTTGAGATTAGCCCTGATAATGTTTGTAGTGGTGTACCCATGCTCGTGGTTTGAGATTAGCCCTGATAATGTTTGTAGTGGTGTACCCATGCTCGTGGTTTGAGATTAGCCACGATAATGTTTGTAGTGGTGTACCCATGCTCGTGGTTTGAGATAAGCCCTGATAATGTTTGTAGTGGTGTACCCATGCTCGTGGTTTGAGATTGGCCCTGATAATGTTTGTAGTGGTGTACCCATGCTCGTGGTTTAAGATTAGCCCTGATAATGTTTATTGTGGTGTACCCATGCTCGTGGTTTGAGATTAGCCCTGATAATGTTTGTAGTGGTGTACCCATGCTCGTGGTTTGAGATTAGCCCCGATAATGTTTGTAGTGGTGTACCCATGCTCGTGGTTTGAGATTAGCCCTGATAATGTTTGTAGTGGTGTACCCATGCTCGTGGTTTGAGATTAGCCCCGATAATGTTTGTAGTGGTGTACCCATGCTCGTGGTTTGAGATTAGCCCTGATAATGTTTGTAGTGGTGTACCCATGCTCGTGGTTTGAGATTAGCCCTGATAATGTTTGTAGTGTTGTACCCATGCTCGTGGTTTGAAATTAGCCCTGATTATGTTTGTAGTGGTGTACCCATGCTCGTGGTTTGAGAGTAGCCTTGATAATGTTCTAGTGGTGCCCCTATGCTCGTGGGTTTGACAGAGTGGTAACACATCGGTCTGAATAAACCAATCCGATAAACGCGGGGTCTCGATCCGATCAATGTGCAAACTTGATTCCTTCTTCCCCAATAAACAGTGAGTTAGTGAGTGAGTTGGGTTTAACGCCGCTTTTAACAGTATTCCAGTTATATCACGGCGTGTCAGCTTAATGTGGGAGGAAAGCCCGAAGTGATGCAGGTCTCAGACGTTTACTACTTCAGTGAAACCCACGAGCACGGGTATGGTGCTGACAAACCCAGAAACATAATGGGGGCGAGCCGGGATTCGAACCCACAATCATAGGTTTCTGGCGTGCCCAAGGGACGCAACTCTGCACAGCGAATCGCGGCGCCTTAGACGACTAGGCCACCCGTGACCCCCAGTACAGTGAACTTACCTCTTAAATATATCATTTTAAAAATAACAGTGTATGATAAACATACTATTATAGTATGTTCGTGACGTAAAAGACTCATATAATGCATTTTTATATTCCTTACATGTTTACGACACAGAAACACACTCTCTAGTTATCATAATATCTATTCGTCACACATTCATCTCGAAACAAGCAAACAAGTCACGCGCCATGCAACACAAAAAACAGACGGGACAGAATCGCTACGCACAAATTAAACCCGTGAATCGGTTCGGCTTCATGTGTGAACGTGGGTCCGTCTGCTTATGACGTCAACACATGGTCCAAATTGTGTTATTAATGTACGCCGATTGCTGATTGTTCGCGCTGGAATGATATCGTGGGATGCCCTTATTCAAGACCACGGACAATTTCCAGTCAATTATCTGAATATTTTCAAGTTGATTACACCTGAAAAGAAAATATTATCCTGTTAATAAAATCGAATTAGCGAACACCTGGTGTCATCACTATTTGATAGTGATTCATGAACACATGTTCATGATATAGTTGGAATCGTGCAATGGATAATGAATATTTCTCATGAATAACGAATTGTTTTGCAGCTCCTCTATTTTCTTCTCCTTATTTTAATATACGCCTAAAAATGTATTGTCCTATGTTCATATGTATCCTGACACTATAAGTGTATTTTCGAAAAAATGAAATTAATATTTTACAATGATACCAGTTTTCCCTATTCAAACCATTGTAATTATTAAATAAATTAATTTAGATTAATAAAACTCGAAGGGTCATGTGGTTGGTACTTTAAATTGGTATATAAGTTAGGGATGTCGACAGTTGTTCGTGGACCAACATTTTGTTGATAACGTCACTAGAGCGTTTAGAGGCCCGTCACGATGTTGAAGTTGATTTGTGTCGTCGCTGTGGTCGGTTGTTCTGTCGCGGAGAAGCGGTGCCCACCCAAGTCATGGCGTGCAGAAGAAGTATTCCTTGGCTTGTATCTTCCCAAAGTTGACAACGTGTACCAGCCGCGAAAGGAAGGGGTAATTATCGTCATATAAACGTCATCGCACTGTTCTCTATGTGATATTCCAGGTACTAGGGGACACGGATGGCCCAATCGTCTAAGGCGCCGCGATTCGCTGTGCAGAGTTGCGTCCCTCAGGCAAGGGTTCGAATCCCGGTTCGCTCCGATTATGTTTCTAGGTTTGTCAGCACCATACCCGTGCTCGTGGGTTTCACCGAAGGGGTAAACGTCTGAGACCTGCATCACTTCGGGCTTTCCTCCCACATTAACCGTGATATAACTGGAATACTGTTAAAAGCGGCGTTAAACCCAACTCACTCACTCACTCCAGGTACTAATACACATGGAACAAATACCACGACATTAAAACAGTGTTAGACCATTCCGAACGTCCACACAAATCAACCTTAACTGTTGCATGGAACCGCCCTTTGAAAGAAGGAGCTATAGGTTGCGTTCTTACCATGCTTCCCTAAGTCTTGAATTAATGATATCAGAGAAAGACTTGAAAGCGAGTACATGTGGAAATAATACACTCGAGCGTCATTGTATGTCTTTCTACCTGACATCCAATGTTTGCACCCGGAGAGCGCAAGGTCGGTGGTCCGATTCCGGGCGCGTCGTACCAGAATCTTTTTGTTACCCTGCCTGATCATGACGTTGGGCGTTGGAGTCGGTAGTGTGCCAGAGTGGGGTATAAGCAGCACACTCGCACGCACGCACTCGAACGCACGCACGCACGCACGCACGCACGCCTGTCCGCACGCACACACGTGCATGCATGTCACAGTTATATCATTCTAATGTTGGATGAACACCGAAATCAACGAATATCTCGGACGTTGACTACTTTGGTGAAACCTACGAGAAAGAGGTGTTGACAGCTGGGGTTCAAATCAACTTTCATCGGATCCTGGCACAACTAGAGGGCTCAGGTCTGCACTTTGAATTGCAACGAATGGTCGTCATCGTAATGTCAGCAGCCTTCTTACCAAGTCCTCACAATCACAACCATAAACATACCCATGTTAAACTAAACCAGCCAGTACTACACGTTAGTGTAAACAGAAAGTTGTGTGAGTCAAGTGTCCGATGCATGACACGTTATCTTGCACTACAGCCTCATGTGGCAGAGTTTGACTTTTCATTATGGGTATTGTTGTAGTTCACCAATGTGTTTAGAGTAAACTACGGTTATATCGAACTCAAAGGGACCAGTTCGTTCTAACCGTAATTCGTTATCAGCTTATATACAGCATACATACAGCAAATGGCAGGGACCTAAAAAAACAGTTGGTTATATCCGCCAGTTCGTTATAAGCGTGTTCGTTATAACCGTAGTTTACTGTACATGTGTTGGATCTAGCACTACAGTCCGAGTGAGTGAGTGAGTATGGTTTTAGGCCGCTTTTAGCAATATTCCAGCAATATCACGGCGGGGGACACCAGAAATGGGCTTCACACATTTTACCCATGTCGGGAATCGAACCCGAGGCTTCGGCGTGACGAGCCAACGCTTTAACCACTAGGCTACCCGACCGACCCACTACAGTCCGAGGTAGCACATAGTTGACATGACATTTGATAATTACTATTGTTGAGGTTTTTATCTTACGAACGTGTCTTTCTTACGATTTCGGAAAGGCTTTCTTCACATTGATTAATTTTGGCATCCACAGTATTTTGATTTTTAGTTTTTTTTATCGTAAAGCAAAGAGACTATATAATGAGTGTTTTACACCACAGGACCACAGCCTGGTGTACTATGACGCTGACAACAAAAGGTCCGCCATCATCTCGAATTTCACTGTTGGCTCAAAGACAGGGGATAACAAATTCATCTTCGACTACACTGCAGTAAGTATACTCTGTATATAACGAAGTTGGATGTAACGAACTTTTGCTATGACGAAATCATTCTAACCTAACATGAGTGGTGATTGAGGAGACGGACATTCTGTGTTTCAAATTAAAGTTTTATTTAATTTTGGACCCGAACGTGCAGCGCTACACTGAAAACTCAGTCAAAAACTGCTTTTCATTAATTTTCTATTACATTCTACCATGATACAATGAAACCCGACCTCCTTGGTATTAGTATCCTAAGACATATGCGTGAGGCCGTATGGATGGAAGCCAATGGTTTGAGTCGATTGTCGATGAAATTTATGGAAACTTGTGGGATTGGGCTTAAGACTGTATAATATTTTGCTGCTCTCCATTTTATGAAACATGTTTTCATCCCCCACCCCTCCCCGCACCCCCCTCCCCACCCTCAGTATTTTAGGCGACAAAACCTCTCACGCTGGCCTTTGTTCATACCCCAACCCCAACCCCCTTCCCCTCACCCCACCCTCACCATCCCACCCCCACCATAAGCACCGTATCTCCCTGAGTGTGTGAGTGAGTTGGGTTTAACGCCGCTTTTAACAGTTTACGACTTATATCACAGCGTGTCAGCTTAATGTTGGAGGAAAGCCCGAAGTGATGCAGGTCTCAGACGTTTACCACTTCGGTGAAACCCACGAGCATGACTATGGTGCTGACAAACCTAGAAACATAATCGGGGCGAACCGGGATTCGAACCCACAATCATAGGTCTCTGGCGTGCCCAAGGGACCACAAGCCTAGACATTATCGGGGCCAACCGGGATTCCAATAGACAATCAATCGTTTCCAAGGGACGCAACTCTGCACAGCTAATTGCGGTGCCTTTGACGATTGGGCCACCCGTGTCCCCGTGTCTTCCAGAAGAGATCTGACTTAAACTCTTTAATGTATTACTTTTTTAAGCTATGGGGCATCGTCAATACGGCACGGGTATCTATGGGCTACGGTCGTCCATCCCCCGTGAATATATACGCCCGCTTTGCCGTGAAGTGATGATGTGTGTGTAGTGTGTCAGTTACTGAATTATGGCCGTGTATAAGTCCCGGAGGTCAATTGTGTCTAACTCGGTGCGGAAACGGACGCCGGAGCAAAGGGGGCACGGGTGGCTCTGTCGTCAAAGGCAGCGCAATTAGCTGTGCAGAGTTGCATCCCTTGGAAACGAATGATTGTCCGTTGGAATCCCGGTTCGCCCCGATAATTTCTAGGCTATGGTCCTGAGTTTCATCAAAGTGATAAACGTCAGAGCCCCGCATCACTTTGGGCTTAGCCCTCAACCACGATGAAACGATGTGATATAGCTAGAATAATGTTCAAACGGTGTTAAACCCAACTCACTGAAGCAATCTCTAGAGAACGATGCCGTAATGCGATATAAGCTGGGCGCTCATTGGCCTGAGTACTCACTGGTGTCCAATTCGCTGAAACAAGGGCGTTGTTGATTGGCTGGTTATGAAGCGTCTGTATGTGAGGTGAGGTGAACTGGGGTTAAACGTCGCGTCTAAGATTATTGCACTTATATAGCGACATGCATGTACGTGTGTGTGTTTGTGTGGTTGCTTGTACTAGTCCGGACTGATGCCGATTTATAGTGCTAGCTCACTGGGATACCATGCCGCAGTTTAACATGAATACCCCACTCAGACACAGTAAACTGACTCCGAGCCGACTAGTCCTTGCTTTAGCCCCTTAATGCCGAGCGCCAGACAGGGTAACAACAAGGACCATCTTTTAACGTCTTTTGGTATGACGCGGTGGGGATCGAACCCCGGACCTTCTGCTCTCTGGGCGGACACACAATGTTACGTAAGCTGGGTTTTTACACCTTCAAGCACTTTCCCTGCAACGTCACGATGAGGGACACCAATATAGGGATTCGAACCCGGTCCTTGGGCTCAATGAGCAGACCTTAACATGTGTAGACCACATCCGCTATCTAACAGTGTCTTACTTCTAGTATGTTGTTTTCCACTGATACGTTTTCCAGTCAGTCGAAATTGTAATATGAATATACATACATGTATCTCAACATGTCATGAACAATTGTGCTGTGTAATTTATAAGCTGGGGAAGTGAATTGTAGAATTTATAATTTACAATTAATTTCATGTGGCAGAAACGATCAGCTCAAACATTGCCCGCTATGGCTTTTAACTCCTCCTATGTAAGTGTCGATATTTCTTACGATGTGTAACATCAATTTGGCATATGCAAAAGAAATCCCATGCATGGAATGCAATAATAAGTGCCTTTTTTAATGTAAGTAATTTCGTTAGTCAGTTCGACTAATTGTGGTAAGGTCGGATGATGCTTCCTGTTGCAATAACATTACGTTTGGAACATTGTAGGGGGCGGGACATTCTTACAATATTCTTCATATGAATTATTTCAGCTAGCTTATCTTGACCTATTTAGATAATAAATTAAAATCTTCTATCTGTTGTAACTGCTGTCCATATCACCTGTTCTCACTCACTGTTCCGCAGGGTGTCCCTTCCCGATCCGCTCGCCATATTCCGGAATCTGCCCCGTGATGTGTGGAGGTGATGACGGACCTGGCTGCCCTGAAGGTGATGGCTACTAGATCAGCTTGGTATTAGTGTCTGCGTGTGTGCAGCCGTGTGTTGTGAGTCTTGTGGCGGCAGTGTTTGTTTGTTTGGTGTTTAACGCCGCACTCAGCAATATTGCAGCAATATGACGTTGGTCTGTAAATAATCGTGTCTGGACCTGACAATCCAGTGATTGACATGGTCAGTATCGATCCACGCAATTGGGATACGATGACAAGTATAAAACAAGTCAGCGAGCCTGACCACCTGATCGCCTCTTATGACAAGCACAGTCGCATAGCAAACATGGGTTGCTGAAAACCGACTCTACCCCGGATTTTCACGCGTCTCTTGCAGTGATAGTGATGTATACCTCGTACTATTGTACAGACATTGCCAGTCCTGTAGTGGCAGTGATGCTTTTGTGAAAGTGTCGTACATGTATTGTCACGACAGTGTTGTACATGTATTATCAGCCTCGCAGTGACAGTGTTGTACAGGTAGTATCAGCCTCGTAGTGACAGTGTTGTACAGGTAGTATCAGCCTCGCAGTGACAGTGTTGTACAGGTAGTGTCAGCCTCGCAGTGACAGTGTAGTACAGGTAGTATCTGCCTCGCAGTGACAGTGTTGTACAGGTATTATCAGCCTCGCAGTGACAGTGTTGTACAGGTAGTGTCAGCCTCGCAGTGACAGTGTTGTACAGGTATTATCAGCCTCGCAGTGTCAGTGTTGTACAGGAAGTATCTGCCTCGCAGTGACAGTGTTGTACAGGTAGTATCTGCCTCGCAGTGACAGTGTTGTACAGGTAGTGTCAGCCTCGCAGTGACAGTGTTGTACAGGTATTATCAGCCTCGCAGTGTCAGTGTTGTACAGGAAGTATCTGCCTCGCAGTGACAGTGTTGTACAGGTAGTATCTGCCTCGCAGTGACAGTGTTGTACAGGTATTATCAGCCTCGCAGTGACAGTGTTGTACAGATAGTATCTGCCTCGCAGTGACAGTGTTGTACAGGAAGTATCAGCCTCGCAGTGTCAGTGTTGTACAGGTAGTATCAGCCTCGCAGTGACAGTGTTGTACAGGAAGTATCTGCCTCGCAGTGACAGTGTTGTACAGGAAGTATCAGCCTCGCAGTGACAGTGTTGTACAGATAGTATCTGCCTCGCAGTGACAGTGTTGTACAGGAAGTATCAGCCTCGCAGTGACAGTGTTGTACAGGTAGTATCAGTCTCGCAGTGACAGTGTTGTACAGATAGTATCTGCCTCGCAGTGACAGTGTTGTGCAGGAAGTATCAGCCTCGTAGTGACAGTGTTGTACAGATAGTATCTGCCTCGCAGTGACAGTGTTGTACAGGAAGTATCAGCCTCGCAGTGACAGTGTTGTACAGGTAGTATCTGCCTCGCAGTGACAGTGTTGTACAGGTATTATCAGCCTCGCAGTGACAGTGTTGTACAGGTAGTATCAGCCTCGTAGTGACAGTGTTGTACAGGTAGTATCAGCCTCGTAGTGACAGTGTTGTACAGGTAGTGTCAGCCTCGCAGTGACAGTGTTGTACAGGTAGTGTCAGCCTCGCAGTGACAGTGTTGTACAGGTAGTATCAGCCTCGCAGTGACAGTGTTGTACAGGTATTGTCTGCCTCGCAGTGTCAGTGCTGTACAAGTATTGTCAGCCTCACAGTGACAGTGTTGTACAGGTATTATCAGCCTCGCAGCGACAGTGTTGTACAGGTATTATCAGCCTCGCAGTGTCAGTGCTGTACAGGTAGTGTCAGCCTCGCAGTGACAGTGTTGTACAGGTATCATCAGCCTCGCAGTGGCAGTGTTGTACATGTATTATCAGCCTTGCAGTGACAGTGTTGTACAGGTAGTATCAGTCTCGCAGTGACAGTGTTGTACAGATAGTATCAGCCTCGCAGTGACAGTGTTGTACAGGTAGTATCAGCCTCGCAGTGACAGTGTTGTACAGGTAGTATCAGTCTCGCAGTGACAGTGTTGTACAGGTAGTATCAGTCTCGCAGTGACAGTGTTGTACAGGTATTATCAGTCTCGCAGTTACAGTGTTGAAAACGTCAGTGTTATTCACGAGCTGATGCTGTCAGTCTACCTTGCTGTTGTATGGCAGATCCACATTACCCTGTATATTGAGTATGATGCAGCCAATGAACTACCTCCCTGCTGTCGTTTATCCGATGATGTTCCGACTTTTTTCTGTTCTCCCACAGGAACGTTGTGCTGCGGCACCAACTGTGGAGGAAGCATGTGTGTGGCCCCGGTACAGCCACGTGAGTTGGACCATCTTCATCCTGACAGTATGTGTTCTACTAATTTGAAATGATCCACTTGAAATGATCATCTTGGTATTCAACTTATACGTAGGGGTGTTGCTAATATTGAGGAGGATGCCGTCTTATGTAAACACTGTCATGTAATTGAGGATGAACTTCATGTTATATACAACTGTCCTCTTTATGCAAGTCGGCGGGAAATGTATATCCCAAAGACAGTTAATCATAATTATTTTTGTTTAGAAAGACTCTGTCAAGTATCCGAAAACGATGCAATGATAAATTTTGCAAAATTTCTAATGTACGTGTTCTCAACACACACACACAAAAAAGTATCAATTAGGTAACTCTTAGATAAATAAAATGTAAATGTATTTTGTACAATGGGTCAAATGGCCTTATACAAATAAATCTGTCTGTCTGTCTGTCTGTCAGTCTGTCTATATGTAGACACATGTTGTCTTTGAAGACTCAGATAGGATTGTTTTCTTCCTGACATAATATGCTCCACAAATTTGAATGCAATGATCATGTTTCGATATGTGGACCCATATTGTCGTGGTGCACTCACAGAGTCAGTAAATGAGTTGTTGATCAAGTACATAATAAATAACTCAATTATTAACGTGACATGTTGTATTGTACTGTGGTCGATACTGCAATTTGTTTTAGAAAACCACTTCCTCTTTGAATAAAGAACGAGTCGAACTTTGTTTCTGGGAAGGGCTGGGTGTGGTTGTGGGAGTGAGGTTGTGGGTGTGGTTGTGGGTGTGAGGTTGCGTTTGTGAGGTTGTGGGTGTGGATGTGAGGTTGTGGGTGTGGTTGTGGGTGTGAGGTTGTGGATGTTGTTGTGGGTGTGAGGTTGTGGGTGAGGTTGTGCGTGAGATGTTGTGGGTGTGGTTGTGGGTGTGAGGTTACGGGTGAGGTTGTGGGTGTGAGGTTGTGGGTGTGGTTGTGGTAGTGGCTGTGAGGTTGTGGGTGTGGTTGTAAGTATGCTTGTGGGTGTGAGGTTGTTGGGTGTGAGGTTGTGGGTCTGAGGTTGTGGGTGTGGTTGTAGGTGTGCTTGTGAGTGTGAGGTTGTTGGGTGTGAGGTTATGGTTGTGGGTTTGGTGTGGATGGAAGTGGTTATGGTGGAGATGGGAGGGTGATTGTTGTGGATGGGGACGGACGTATTGTTTTAGCGACAACATATGCCGCATATTTTCTGCTGCAGGTAGAGCCAGGCATATTAAACATATTTACATCAAGACATCCAACATATCCAGCGAACTACTTTGTTAGTTTAACCAAGCCAAATATTGTTTTCAATTAATTTCATGAACAGTTTTTCATTTTTATAATCCCAAGATATCACATGGATTTACAGCCTCATGTAAAGCGGGTAAAATATGGAAAGATATGCTCTTCCATCAAATAAATTTTGTCTGAGCTAATCTATATGCATACCTTTGTTCCGGCTGGGAAATATACACATTCAATAACTGGCAAGAATCCAAATAAAAACTGACATTGCATTTGGTTTTCCGAAGTCACTGCATAATATTAACTAACATCTGTTTTCCGGATGAAACTGGGCTATTTGCAAATAATGCCATCAACAGCCCCATCGTTGCCATTTCCTCAAAGTGGTTTGTGTGTGTCTTGTTTGACGCCGCACTCAGCAATATTCCAGGTATATGACATCGGTTGGTAAATATCTGGAGTCTGGACCACACAAACCACAAATCATCACGAGCCTCGATCTCCGCAATGGGAATACGATGACATGCATCACGCCTGACCACCCGATCCCTTTAGTCGCCTCTTACGACAAGCATAGTCGCCTCTTCTGACAAGCATGGGCTGCCGAAGAACTCATTTCCTCAAAGCTTGACCGCCTTAAGTTCTTACAACATTACTTCCAGACCTTGACCCAAATAAAGACAATTTCTTTATGACTAAACAATTCCCTCGGTCTAAGAATTATTTTGTTTGACAGATTTAATTTAAAACGCATGGTTATTCTTATATCGGCATATCAAGAACGAAACATAGCTTTCTCTACCTCAGTGTATGATTGCTGGTAAAAAGGTTCTAAGCCTAACTAACTCTCAACTTTGGGCCATAACAAGTAAACATGTCAATGTAGTACACTGATTGAGTAGTTCATTGCACGTTTGTATATTAGTGACAGTCAGTTGAACGTGATATGGGTCCAAATGGACAGAGAAACGGAAAAGAACGAGTACCGTACAGTCATCAAGTTTCTGACTGTAGAGAAACGTGTTCTCCAAGGTATTCATGAGAGCATGTCACAAGTGTATGGGAATAAGTGCCCTAGCCATTTCACTGTTTGACGTTGTACAGCTGTGTTGAAGGATGGTCTTGACAATGACCCGAGGTCTGGACGTCCTTCAACTTCCATCAATTAAGATTCAATCAAGGAGAAAGACGTTTTACCAATGTCGAACTTATATTGTCATATACCTAGGTAACGCGATCTCAGGGTCGGGTATCAAAACAGAACCTGATGTCGATGATGTCAATTGCTTTCATGGATTCTCTTGATACTTAAGACGTTTTGTATGTCATCAATAATTTTTATGACTACTTGTACGGCAACTCATTCACTGAAAAGACTGGCAACACTACTCTCACTTATGCCCTCAGTTCCACTAAGTTTGATGCAAACGGGCATCACTGGCATGCATAACTTGCCACCTATGACTTCTCGCTTGAGTATGTAGGAGTGACGATGGAGAATGTAAAGTAATTTAAATCTCATCAAGTGCTGTGGGGACACTATCCCTAACTAGACCACCTAGTTGTATCATGGTAGAGCGTCCCCCAGAGAGCGGAGGCCAGGAGTTCGATCCCCGGCTGCGTCATACCAAAAGACGTTAAAAGATGGTTATTGTTGCCTTGTCCGCCGCTCAGCATAAAGGGGCTAAAAACAAAGACAGGTCAGCTCTAAGTCAGTATAGTGTGTCTGAGTAGGGTAATCACGTAAAACTGCGGCATGGTATCTCAGTGGGCTAGAACTATAAATCTGCATCAGTCCAGGCTTGTACAAGTAGCCCTCCACACACACGTGCATGCACATCACTATAGAAGTGCGAGAAGTGCGGGATAAATACCACCCCATCTCACCTCACTTTCCCTAACTGGGGAGGTGATAATTTGCATGTTGGCAGTTGATGGTATGGCACCTCCTGACAAGATCCCTCAATTTGTTAGAATTGTATATACACGTCCACCCTGGAGGTTCTAACATCGGATCTGGATCTGCATCTATTCTCCGCCAGTAGGACTCGCTCACTATCAAAGATGACCGTCTTCCAAGGCAAAAACTTACATATGTTGTAGCATCCTACTGTCAACCGAGTCTGGAAGATATGATAAATTTATATATGACAGCATATTAGTGGACATATATATAGCATATGTTGGACATCGTATTAGTGACAAGACCATGGCTTTATTTAAGACATGGTTTTACTGGCGGGGAAAAATATTAGCTGCTGCCAGAGGTATATTCCTGAATTGAGCATGCACCTTTAGTTAGCATCGAAACCACTAAACCTATGGAGATGGTGTTCATCGCCTGACTCAGCTTGGGACCCTTCTCTTGTGGTTGTGGTTCGGTGAAATGGCGTTGAGTATCGCGTCCAAGTGTGGTTATCGGAATTCCCTGTTCATTACAGCTCATTTCACAAAATATGCCTTTGCCATCACCACTGGCAACAAAACGGCACATACTACAGTCCAAGTACTGTTTGATCACTGCAGCATTCCAGAGATTTCGCACTCTGATCAAGGCTGGCACCTGAAGGTGATATCCCCAGACAGTTGTGCAGCATATTGGGCATACTGGGACTACTATATAGCATGATGGGTAATGGACAATGCAAGCGGTTTACTGACTCAGATGCTCAGTACTCGGGAGAAACAGCACACGGCAAAGAAGAAAGATCATCTTTCTCACGTATTGTATGCCTAGAACTGTTCACTCCCTACTTACTCGTGTTTGGCCGACATCATAGGCTGTCTGTTGACTCTGCATTTGGTACAGCACTGACCAATATTTCATCAGCTAATAACCACTTTTTGCGGCTCTAGTGAGGAAATTGCATACTGCATAATCTGTCGAAAGAGGAGTATTACATGACATATTCTGAACTTCAAAATCTGCCTCATGTTTTGACTAGACGCCCAGTGGCTGGGCATAACATACCACGCCTGGCTACACATATCTTTTAAAATAGCCAAAAATGAGACAATCCATGCATTGTCAAAGAGTCCCCCATTACAACCCTTCTCTCTGTATAGTTGTTTACAGTGACCACACCGAAATTGTACACTTGAAACCTCCACCTAAATGAGCTTGCAGTCAATATGTATCAACAATATTGGAGGAAAACAACAAACGTAACCATTTATAGCATGGATCATTAATTATCTCGATGATAGAGGATTTGTCATTGAAATGGGAAAAGTTGTTGGTCATCATGTGACCTCAGGATATCACCATGGAATAGCCTATCACGGACGCTAATTCAATCATATACACGATACGATACGAATAGTCTCACATGGATTTCTCAGCATATTTCTCTGAAAAGAGCAATAAAAAAAACAGTGCACAGAATGCGACATTTATGAATTAAAAGATAAAAGGAATGCAAAACTTTATTCAAAGCTAATTACATATCATTCTTTCCGTCAACATGTTTAAAATGTATTCCTTCTGAATATCTGGTTTCAAGGTCTGAAACTATTAGTGGACTGTTATATATAATCCTTAACTGTCAGGCCACATAGGAAACTACATCTTTTCACTGACACCCTCCCCCGTATGGAGCAAGGTTCTGGATTCGAATGATTTCAAGGTCAAAGGTATCGGGTCCATGCAAGATATCTTCTACCGCCTCCATTTTCTGAGGGCCAACTGGCGCGAAGTGCATTAACTGAAATGTGACCAAAAAAAGGTCATTGCAAGCACGTTCTTAAGGACGATAACCATCACAATTGCTACAACAAACTATAATTCAGTGTATCACACCATTTAACATTATTTAGTTATATGAATGGTGTGTCAGCCTGATGTAGGGGAAGTCAGAAGTGATGCAGGAAAAGACATACCACTTAGCACAAGGAATGATAAGACAAATCTAGAAACCAAATCAGGGGATTAATGAAGTGTGCAAGAAGGTTTACCTCAACTGGAAGGCTTGCTAGAGTTCTGAAACATGCTGCCGGTTGATCTGCGTTAAGAAGGCCAATGTCTCTCTCAAACATCTGTCTCATCTTCTCGTCAAACTCAGCTGTTGTTAAATCTGAAATGTAAGTATGAATTGGATAGCATACATGAGTCTGGAATAGGAACTTTGCGATTTTATTCACAAAAGGTGCACATGGCTGTGCATTTTGATCATTTGTGGGAAGC